CCTGGTCCTAGCCCTAACCCTGGTCCTTTCTCTGGCCATAGCCCTGGTCCTGGCCCAAACCCTAAACCTGGTCCTGGTCCTGCCCCTAACCCAAACCCTAAACCTGGTCCTGGTCCTGGCCCTGGTCCTGGTCCTGGTCCTGGCCCTCTCTCTAGTCCTGGTCCTGGTCCTAGCCCTAACCCTGGTCCTTTCTCTGGCCATAGCCCTGGTCCTGGCCCAAACCCTAAACCTGGTCCTGGTCCTGCCCCTAACCCAAACCCTAAACCTGGTCCTGGTCCTGGCCCTGGTCCTGGTCCTGGCCCTCTCTCTAGTCCTGGTCCTGGTCCTAGCCCTAACCCTGGTCCTTTCTCTGGCCATAGCCCTGGCCCTGACCCTGGTCCTTTCTCTGGCCCTGGTCCTAACCTTAACCCTGACCCTAACCCCGCCCCCCCTTCTGCAGGTACCTGGTGGTGGCCTGGCCCTGGTCCTAACCCTGGCCCTGGTCCTTTCCCTAACCCTGGCCCTGGTCCTAACCCTAACCCCGCCCCACCTTCTGCAGGTACCTGGTGGTGGCCTGGCCCTGGTCCTTTCCCTAACCCTGGCCCTGGTCCTAACCCTTACCCTAACCCGGTCCTTTCCGCCCCCCTTCTGCAGGTACTTGGTGGTGGCCTGGCCCTGGCCCTGGTCCTGGTCCTAACCCTGACCCTAACCCTGGCCCTGGTCCTAGCCCTGGCCCTAACCCTAACCCCGGTCCTTTCCGGCTGCAGGTACCTGGTGGTGCCCTGACCCTGGCCCTGGTCCTAACCCTGACCTTGGTCCTTTCTCTGGTCCTAGCCCTGGCCCTAACCCTAACCCCGGTCCTTTCCGGCTGCAGGTACCTGGTGGTGCCCTGACCCTGGCCCTGGTCCTGGTCCTAACCCTGACCCTAACCCTGGCCCTGGTCCTAACCCCTAACCCTAACCCGGTCCTGGTCCTCTCTGCAGGTACCTGGTGGTGGCCTGGCCCTGACCCTGACCTTAACCCTAACCCTAACCCTAACCCCGGTCCTGGTCCTCTCTGCAGGTACCTGGTGGTGGCCTGGCCCTGGTCCTTTATCTGGCCTTGGCCCTTTCTCTGTTCCTGGTCCTTTCTGTGGCCCTAACCCTGGCCCCTGGTCCTAGCCCTGGCCCTAACCCCGTCCCTAGCCCTAACCCTAACCCCGCCCCCCTTCTGCAGGTACCTGGTGGTGGCCTGGCCCTGGTCCTAACCCTAACCCTAACCCTAACCCCGCCCCCCCTCTCTGCAGGTACCTGGTGGTGGCCTGGCCCCGGTCCTTTATCTGGCCTTGGCCCTTTCTCTGTTCCTGGTCCTTTCTCTGTTCCTAACCCTGACCTTAGCCCTAACCCCGGTCCTGGTCCTCTGCAGGTACCTGGTGGTGGCCTGGCCCCTGTGGTACCGGTTCAGACGCAGCCTGCGGACGTCGGTGGTGGTCTGCCTGGTGGTCTGGGCCCTTCCCCTGCTCTACCTGCCCATCTTCTTCTTCGCCAGATCCTACATGGAGACCACCATCGCCTCCTTCCTGCTGCTGCCCTTCCCCCTGCTGCTCTTCTTCCTGGGGGGCACCCTGAGGGCGCTGGCCGCCTCCCGCAG